CCCTAAAATGAGACATCTCTAAGCTCTTAATTTTAACAATCTTTCCCTCATAGTTTGAACCTGTTAGTTTGTAAGAGCAGAATACATCTGGATGCAGTTAACAGTTCTCCTCCTTTAGGACACCAAAACCATAATACAATGACCTACCCAATTTTTGTTCTATTCGCTTGAGGTTTTTCTCTTGCTCAGCAAGTTCCTGTTTTTTCTTTTGCATTTCTGGAGTGTTAAGTGACTGCAAATGTAAATCAAGGTCCTTATTCACATTATCAAGTTTCACCACTGCTGCACGGTATTGCTGAAGAAGATCTAGTTGAAGAATAAAATAATAAACCACAAAACAGTAAGTGGTCACACTGATTTAGAATGCTACCAGCTACAATCCAGACAATGTATACAATTCACAAGAACACGTATCTTTCACAACTACTACTTAAAGAAACACACCCAAACTTACAGTAGACCAGTGGCTGTTCTTAAGGTGACTGTAAAGACAGACTGAAAAAAAAAAAGGCACACCCAGTATATTTTGATTCCTCTTTTCTTTTTGAGCCCGTATCTCAGATCACAGTGAAGTACCAGCACACAGGTATTTCTTTACACATCGTGTCACTTGGGTGCTCCAAACTGAATTCTCTGTCTTTGATGCCATTAGGTGTGCTTGTAGTATGTTTTGCTTTCAGTGCTACAAAACTGAAGCTTGTTTTACTGAGTTGAATTCTAGTCCACCTTGTGGAACAAGAGAACATTTACTGCGTTTCACTTGGTCTCACCTACAGGAATTTAAACATGGAGACGGCAGTAGACCCAGGTAAACAAGGGCCAACTTTGTTCTTCTTTTAACATTTAAGACTTCAGAATTTTTTTTTTTGTCCAGGCATTGAATAAATATGTCAAGTAATAAAGAAAGGGTTCAAGCGTGGTAGCCCAGTCTCATTCGTTGTACTCTGTGGTATGAGGTAGCCTGCACAAAGCTCAACTGAACGCTAAATTACCGTACATTTGCCACAGGGTGAAAGCATTCACATAGTTACTGCAGACTGACAAAAGGCACTGCACATTCCTAGTACAGTTTCTTTTAGAAGTACCTGTGTAATCACAGTTCAAGTAACTCCTTTTATGCTACAAACATAGAAAAGCAAGTCAGAACTGATGTTAAGGCTGAAATTCAGTTCAAAACAAGTCTAGTGTCGTGAGAGGTTGTCCTTTATATGGAATGTCACTACTATTTTCCTTTCAACGTCTAGTAACTATCCAAGTGAAATTAAACTATGCTCTTTTCCTGTACTAAATTATAGACAATTCCAATGTAATTCACATTGGGTAATAACTGAGTTCAACAATTGAAAACGTGTTGATAGAAAACTATAAAGCAGGCCAAACCCAGCATATTTCAGTCTGTACCTGAAATGCTTACAGTGTGATATATTCTCAGTGAAATGACTAAAAAGATCTTTCCTAGACATTTTTTCTCCCTCAACTGGTCAACGTTAAGTGGTTTGCTCATATATATAAGGTTACTCCAATAGGTACCTGCGTTCTCTCTGTCTCTCATTCTGCCCCCACCCCTCTCCATTACACATTTCCAGGAAAACCATCCTGGAAAAACTTCATGTCCTTTCTTTTGAAATGTAAGTATTTAAGAACAACCTTATCTGTGAATAAGACTTTTCAATGTTTTACAAATCAGTCAGGTCAGCTGTTACATGTCAGAAGCTGCCATCTTTTAACTTTATTTATAAACTTTATTCTGAAAGGAAGAATCCAAGCACGTAATGAAATATGGAATCATAGAATCATTAGGTTGGAACAGACCTCTAAGATCATCAAGTCCAACCATTGACCTAATACCACCATGCCCACTAAACCATGTCTACATCGACACGTTTTTTGAACGCCTCCAGGGATGGTGACTCCACCACTGCCCTGGGCTGCCTGTTCCAATGTTTGACCACTCTTTCGGTAAAGAAATTTTCCCTAATGTCCAACCTAGACCTCCCCTGGCACAACTTGAGGCCGTTTCCTCTTGTCCTATCGCTTGTTAATCGGGAGAAGAGACCGACCCCCACCTCACTCCAACCTCCTTTCAGCTTTCTCTAAGTCATACAAGTGATCCCACAGGAAACATAAGGCATCTTCTTGTTAGGGAAATACTGTAGATGATGTTGTGCATGACTGATGAGAACAGGAATTTTTCTACCACTGCTTCATAGAGGCTACTTGCACAGTAAGAAATTCTAAATTGACATATGGTGTTTCCTGAGGAGAAAGACCTGAAACTTGTTTTTCAAGGATGCTGGAATTCAATCAGCTCAAGCTTCTCACGCCTGCTGTTCGGATGATTAGCATTGCTTATACTCTTTCTTTACTAAGACTAAGAAAAAGGGGGAATATTTCAGGGTTACTTTTTCTTTCAGTAAATTTAATAGCTATAAGCTTTTCAGAAAAGGGAAATTCATAAATAGGACATACACAAGTTCTACTTCTTAACTTTATGCTAAATTGAAGTTTTCCTTTTTATATTACGTAAGAGAATAACAAACACAGGCAAGCAAACTTCGCAAGTTTTGTATTTTCATCATTTCATTAACCCACCTATCTGTCCAGAGAAAGCGGAGTAAAGTTTTGGGACGGGTGCTCCAAATACCATTCCTCTGAGTTTGTCCATTGGAGGAGCTTTATTCTGAAGGCCTCCAAATTTTCCATTGCTGCGAATCCTGTCCCCTTCCCTAGTCAGCAAGGTAGGGCAATGTGTAATTTTTACAACCTACACAGGTATAAAAAGTGATACTAAATCAGTAACTCCGTGGAAAATCTAAGTTTTCAGCAATGCTGTTGTGAAGCTTTGCATCTTTCAGCTACGATGCAGTTTGTTCTCTAATGAGAACGTATTTTATGAAATTACATTTCATGACTTTTGCTTTCAAGTAATAGAATGCATATATTAAAATTAAACAGTACTGTCGATAATTATGAAGACTGATTTTCTGGGGTATTTTTTTGCGTGTCCTCAGGTTTTAACAGAACTCCGGAGGCAGAATTTAGATCTATACTGGGAAAGAGCTAATCATCAACATATATGATGAAGTAATGGCAATAAACATTAATACTGATTAAAAAAAGTAAGTGCTTATTCAATTACTTGATGAACATTGCTTTCTTCTTTCCTTTTTTTTTTTTTTAATGCACAAGATTTAAAGCATTTAGATTCCAAGGGATTTATTTCTTACAACACATTCCGTAAAACTTCCATATAGTTGATGAAGTTTACCTGTGGTGAGTGACTGAAACAAATGGGGTGACAGACTAACCAAGTGAAATGACCCAGCTCTCGTTTTGAGAAATGACCACCGATATGAACTCCTCCTGAACAGACACAGATGGTCAGCCTCCTGACACCGATTAACAACCAAGGTCTGACTCTCTGGTGTCTTCTGTTTGATTTTGTAGTAAAAAATATATACTTTTTGATGAAATAAGCACAGACAGTCTTCACAGTTGAAAAATGGTAGCTATTTGTTCACTTGATGGACATTGAGATGGTTAATATTTTAATTTTCATCATGTGTTATAATGTCAATCATCTGTTTTTCACTCTGACTCTACCCATAATTCTGAGACACTCTTAGGGAACACTCAAGACAGTCCTTGTTCCCAGCTAGTGGTAGCCAATAAAAACGGAATGGAATCACAGAGTAAAAGAACTGGTCAGGCCCAGAGCACAGAGTAGGAAATCTGTCCTGCACTGACTGGGAAAGAACAAAACAGGCAACCAATTTCAGATGCCACCAGAGGTTCCTTATTTACTTGCTGTTTGCAGTAAAATTTCTTATCCTTTTGGAGAGGAAAAAAAAGCCAAGAATATCCAGCCCCAAGAGCTTAATGTTCAATCAGTGCAGTTCTACATCCTTATGCTGAATCACTATTTCCATCCTAGCAAACTCATAAGCTGAAACAGAAGGTGCCCAGTGTCAGGACTTCCTCAGACTCTTGCCTGCTAAAATGTGTCCTATTAAACCTAAATAAAATGGTTCAGAAAAAGGTCTAGCGAGTTTCACATCCAGATTTTAGTCATTTTAGTGGATCTGAAATTTCATCATGTGCCTCAGATTCCTGTGTTTTATTATACATACAGGGAAAGTACTGAAGAACTTGCATTTAACACTAACAGCAAAACTAAAAATGTCTATGTTTAAAAACATGGTCCCGTGCTTCATGGCAACATTCACCTAACGGAATTTGTTGAATGGAGGTAATTTTGTCAGTGCCAATAATAAAGATTTCATTCACTGTTAAGTGCATTGAGACCTACAGACAGTAACCCTGCTAACAGCTAATGCAGCATTAAACTTAGCAATTATTCTAAGTTTGTAGTGTATTAAATATGTAGCTATGCAATATATTTCTTTTAAAAAAAAGATATCAAGAATAATTGAAACATACCTCTTTTCTGTAATGGTTGGCAGCATCCAAGTTATCTATAATGATAGTGTCACCCAAGAGCATCCCAAACACTGAAAAACGTAATTTTTTGAACCATGAAACTTCTCTGCAACAAAATAACTTGCATTTTGAAAAATTAATTCTGAGGCATCATTATCACAGCTTTTCACATAAGTGCAAGGGTAACAGCATGTGCACGATCTTTTTTCAACGAAATTTTGTTCTGAGACTGAGACAAATATGCCATATTCTGTTTTCATAAAAAAAATTCATAAAGAAAAAAATTTAGTATGTTTAATTGCCTTATGGCACAATTGACTGTATTTTCCAAAGTACCCTCTTGTTCGTTTACATTTACATTTATGAAGACACACACAATAAAATGCCAAGTTTTAGGAAATTATGTAAATGATTTTTTTTTAAGTCCTCCTTGAATTGCATCCGCAGTTTCTTAATATGTTTCTGAATATTCAGTAGGTTATCAAAGAAAAAAGAACACTCACAGGCTGATGATCAACTGAGTTTAAGACTTTTCTTCTGCTAATCAAAGCCTGTTCTATACAAAGTCTAACTCGATGTAGCTTTGCATGACATACATCCAACAATGTGGCCTTTAATTTACCCCAAAGGACACAAAGAAGAATTTATAGTTAAAGTCTCTGACAACATCTAATTTTCTGAAAATAAACCGGCTTTTATCAACAGCAGAGAGGAATATTTCAATACTGTGAAGTTGTGATGTAAAACGAAGAACTCTGAGAACCAATTACAGATTCCGACTCTCCACATAAAGGAGTAGGTCTACTTAATTTAAGAAAAAGAGTGTAGGAAAAGATAGGTATTGCTATGTTTTTAGAAAAAGAGAGAGGATGATGGTTCCCTAAACTGAAATCTACATAAAACCTGAAAGCTTATTCTTATCGTAACTATTTAAGCATAACTTAAGTCATGCACAGTTCAGTCTGAGTGTAGATAAATCTATGCATTACACATTTTTGAGAGGAACGGGAGTGGAAAAACAGCCTAACAAAAGCAGTAACTTCTGCATATGAAAATATAAAACTAATGTCACGATTGTAAGTTTCTGCTTAGATGAGCTTGGGAATAAGATAACGCTGCAGTAATTTAAAAAAAGAAAAAACCTCTAGTATATATAGCACAGAAAATAAAAATAAGACAACAAGCAGAAGACAGTGGTCAATGCTGAAATTTTCACAACTGCCAATACTTAATGCTAGTGTCATCCTCTTTTCACCAGCAGACCACATGAGGTATTTGCAAATGTCTCAGTGAAGATTACCGAACGGATTATGATTTGTGATGTTTGTGTATTTCATTATTAAAAAGAAAGAAGTTACGAACAATTTCTTTAGTATCATTTACCTGTTTGACAATGCTCTACGTTATCTGGAAATGTTAACAGATCTCTGGCAAATACAGGATTTCCAATAGGTCTGAAGAAGATTTTTCCATTTCTTAAGTGAGGCAAAGGCCTAGTTAAAGAAAGGGGAGAGCGAGGGAGAAGAAGAGAAAAAGGTAATTTGTCCTTATTTCATTATTGCTTCTGACAATCTAGTCAGAAATCTCAAACTGAATTGAATGCATCCTAACACTTCCACGTTAGGTGCTGAACGATTCCAACATTATCTGAAATGCCAGTTACATTAAAGATGCTTTGGTGAAACACTAATTTATAATGTGACATATATCCAACAAAAATTCATATGACTAATTTTATGGACAAGTTTTAATACACTATAACTGATGTTTTGGACCTTATAAATGCATCTGCACATCAGATCTTTTAGAAAAGGCATTATTTATGATACTAGCAGCCATCTTCACAAGGAAATTCTTTTCAGGCACAGAATTACTATATTTTCCTTTATCTTCCGGGAAACCAAAACAACAGAATGAATTTCTATTACTACAGATGATTTTAGGGAATTTCTATTACTACAGATGATTTTAGGGAATTTCTATTACTACAGATGATTTTAGGGAATTTCTATTACTACAGATGATTTTAGGGAATGTGCTCCAGAATTGGATTTTTAAAAGAGTTAGAAGCAGTAGAATTATTTTTAAAAAAGTTCCAGCTCTAGAAAACCTGTAGAAGTGAAGAAAAAAAATGGTAGATTGTCTTCTCTCTTTAATAGAAACACCCCACTAAATAAAGAACAATGCACAGCAGCTAAAGACATAAAGCTACGATTTCAGCTAACATTTCAAGTGACATTACTGTTGCTATAATTATGAAGCCAGAAATTTTGTACTTTGAATCTTTAATAGGAGTAAAGTTTAAAAACCAAGTTAAACAAAAAAAAAGTTGAAGTATGGAATGCAAATGCAGAGGATTGTTTTTCACTCTACCTGTTCCAATCAGGGAGTGTCTTCTTGTAAATCGAATCAAGCGGTAACACTTGTTGTCGACCTTGAGTTTCATCAAAAATAGAACGAGCAGCTTCAGTAGTCAGCGTGACTACACAGTCCATGTCGCTTGCCAAATGCCAAGAGATAACTTTTGCTGCTTCGTTATCTTCAATTTGAGCTAAATGTGCAATCTGTACCACAGAAGTTAGAACAGTCAAAGCAGAAGCCAAGACCACTTCCCCCTGTCATACTAACCACAATCACCCCGCAACTTCAATTTAATTCCCCTGTTGATAGCTCTGTTAGAAGAGCTGATCATCTGACGGGTTGAGAATGCGACCTTCTTTCTAATACTCCCCAAAATTACTTGCATGTTTGGTTGGCTGATTTTTTCATCACTATCACCTCCTGGAACCAACAAAACTCATCCAAAGGCTCTCTGAGAGAAAACTCACCTTGCCTAAAATATCCTGGTTGCCTTTTGGATAGTTTGGGAGGGTACAAGTTCGCCTTGGCTGTTTCATTACTCCTTCTTGATCCAACATCTTTTGTTTTATAAGAGAATCCACATACTGAAGCTGAGAATTAAAGTTAGCAAACATGTATCATTGGGCTGAGCTACAGAAGTAGTTACTTTACCCGTTGTCAGTCAAGTTCCTAACAAAAAACATTCAACATTCTGAAACAGACTTCTAATATATAGAGGACCACTGCATATAATCTCAGAGGACAGCAAAAGGAGGCACGCTGCAATCATGACTCTGAACTTTTTATTACTACTTTTTTTACTTTTTTTAAATACTTCAGGGATTTTTTCACAAAGAGCTACCAGAGCTTGATTAGA